ATTTACAAATGTATAATATTATGATCTTTGAACAGAAACTAACAATTGATGGTTTTTGTAATTTAATAAATATTTTAAAAATACCGATTGACATTGATGTCTTGTTTGAGGAGAGAGTAATTCTCTCTATTTTTTATGATTCATCTGAATACTTAAAGTTAGATGGTCTAAAAGTAGAAGAGAAATGGGTAGTTTTCATAATAACGATAAATCCCTATGCTTGGAAAAAATATGCGAGTATGTTTTCTCCTTACCTCATTCTAATGCCTCATCGAACGTCATTTTTATCCTGACAGGACTTCCTGGAAAAAGGAGAGTAATCTGATTTCTTTAACAACATTAGAGACTGGGCTAATAGTCAAAATTATATATGTCATGCCAGGAATTTTATAAATATCTTAATAACGACGGTAAACGTCTAGTTCCATTATTTAAATCTCAAATAAAATATAATTAACATTATAATTATTTAATTTTCCATATTTTTTTTATATTTTATAAAATCTTAATTATACATTCGCATAAAATAAATATATTTTTTACATTGTAAAATTATTATTTTGAATATTATGGCAAATCAAAAAATTGAGCATTACAAGACTATCGGTATTTTTTAAATATTTAAAATTTTTAATATATTTTTAGTAATGGCGCCATATAATTTATTGTCAATTTTTTACTGTAAATTATGCACACATCTTCAGCTTAATTTTGTGAATCTTTATTGAAAAAGATTCTTCTGATTTCAACTTCATATTAACAGCATGTAGCAGATTTCCTACATGTGAAATCTTTCCTAAAAATACCTCTGCCATTAATTCTTGAAAAAATTTTTCAAAATGTTACGACATCTCTTATAATTTATTTAAGAAATATTTTTTTAAAGGTTTATAAAATTTTAAAATTCTATCGATGGCGGGTATTAGGAACATGTCGCAACCAACTTTAACTGACTCAATTCTGTAAATACAGTGGTTTTTGCCAAATTCACTTAGGCATTATTATATCAGAAGGCTGACATGCAATTCATTGATAATCTCGAATCTGCTATATTTACCATTATATGGTTAATTATGTCTTTGGATTATTCACTATTTGAAAGAAAATATTTTAATAGATTGAAACGACGATAATTTTGTTGAAATAGCGGAGTATCAAGGAAATGTTATAATATTTCCCTTATTAGACGCATCTGTTAAGGTTGCATATGTATGCCAATCTTTCAAATCGTCAAGAATTGACCTAGTGGATTCAGGTTCTAAAACATTGATGATAGCCTTGCTCATTTTTACTCTACAAGAAAAATTTTCATTTATCTCGGAAATAGCTCTGTTAACGTTGTACTACATGATGTATACCATTGCCTCAACTGCGGTTGCATTTGTATTATTTTATATTTTTGGAGAATATTTTTGTTTTGCAATAGATGTAGATACACTCCCCTGCGCTGATTATAGTAATAATATAACTGACCTATAATAAATAAAATTATCATTGAAATAAGTGTAAAATATTACCTTAATATGTATTTAAATGTGATATAAGCGCCTATTCCTATAATGTTATACACAAACACACATGGTAAATTTCCAATTGCGGTAGTTTTGCGGGACTTTCGCATAATATATATTTTTTACATTATATAATTAAAATCGTTTATTTTTTTTTATAAAATTAATATATTTTAAACATGTTAATTTAATAATAAAGATAGTATTTAAAAATTTTTTGTCTCGTACTATTATTAACATTGGCGTACGCAGGGGGGGAGGGGGGGGGGAGGGGGGTTGCAGGGGGACAAATCCCCCCCCCCCCTCTCAAAGCCAAAATATGTAGATGCCGGATATATTTTTCAAAAATATTATTGTTTATATTAATTTATATTTGTTAATATTTATTCCTATCTCATATATATATTTAATTACATTTATTTATCACATTCATCTACTAAGTTATTTTATCAATTAATTTCGATTTCCTTGGCGTAATTTACCTATTATTTTCATAGTTTAGTGGCGTATTATTTATCTAAATTTCTAGTCAAATAATAATTATTTCTGAAATTGTCCAACAGGGAGAAAGAAATTGCAACCTTGTCCAACGAGATAGACTATCCGCCATCATGCCGTAACAGCTTTCATAGAGTTAGAAGAGCCGATTATTAATTCTATTACTGAAATATCACAATGACCTGAAATAAATATTTCCTCAGAAGCAAGAAAATTATTCAATGCTTATTCCAAATTTTATTTCTCATTAGAATGTATTATTTAATTATACAACTATTTTAAGTATTACTTTTCAAAAACATGACATTGACTTGATTAAGAAGATGAGAAGAGCGGAGAGGATTTTATCAGAACTCAAGGAAATTAGGGCTAAAGTTGATGAAGAATTTCATATTTTATTGTTGAATCAAAAGCAGAGCTATACGTGTTTAATATTTGTCTCCCTCGACTTATAGCAAGGCAAGCTCATTGTTAAAACTTTAATATAGGATCAGTAGAAGAGTATATCTTAAATATAGATACATTTATAACCCAAATAAATGAATTTTTAATTCATCATGCAGCACTTACAAATCTGCAAATATTACTTCCACAAAAGCCATCCCAACCTTTTTTCAGATGGTGATGGGAAAAAAAATATTTGTTAGATTTTTATTATGATGTTAAAGTATCTTATGATGCCTTACTAGCTGAATAACTATGTTTATAAGATTAACTATGGTTGATATAGTCCCAAAATGCTATGGATGATCTGCATTATTTCAAACACATTTTAGATTAAATTCCCAATGTATTACAAGGGTTTATAAACTCTCCCCATTAGTAAACTAATGAGAGAACATTCTCCTTTTTAAGAAGAATAACAGAGGCCTGCAGAAGTACCATTTGCAGGGCACGGCCCGGATTATTTTTAAAAATTTTTTACGGCCTGGCCTGGTTTTTTTTTTAAATTTTCAGGCCCGGCTCGGATTTTTTTAAAATAAATTTTATTTAGATTTATTAGCTAATAATAACGATTTCAAATATAGGCTGTTTTAAAAAATACAGCCCGGATTGGGTGTTTTTTTAAAATAATTCAGCCCCAGCTTGGGTGTTTTTTTAAAAACTTCGGGCCCGGCCCGGGTATATTTAAAAAATTAAAATACTGTCCAGCCCGGAGGCCGGGCCTACAGGTCAAGGTTTGGATCTTTTGAATTTTCATAGGCATTTGACGACAAGCAAGGATGAGATAATTGAAAAATTAGCTCAATCACAACGAAGATTGGATTTTACATTGTAAATATATAACATACAAAATGCAATTATTCCTAAGAATTATTTTGTGTAAAGGCTCAAAAAAATCAAATTTCTATTTTGGGTCATTTAAGTGATTTTTTACATATAATTTTTTTATAATTCACATAAATTTAAAATTGTGTATTAGAAATAGTTATTGGTCCTAATAAATTAATGCTTGATATTTTTAAAAAACAATAATATTCATTTAAACATTTTATCATCCCCCCCCCCCCCTTCCCCTAGACCAAATTCCTGCGTACGCGCTGATTATTAATTATTTTATTTTGAAAAATAGTTATTGACCTTATATTATAAACTAATTATTATAAAAATAATAGGCGGATAAAACTCAATTCAAAATCCCTGCAGGCCATAAAAATATTTTAGCGAATTTTATATTTCTACCACAATTTCCATATTTCTACCACAATTTCCATATTTCTCCCGCAAAATACCAAATTTCTCCCGCAATTTAAGAATTTTGACATGGCAAACGTGGTCTTGGCTACGCTTATGTTCAGTCTAACACCGTCTTGAGGTAAAGGTTGATGAGTTAGAGATATTTGGGTGTGTGAACTGCTGTTAAAACTTATTAATGATATGATCTATAATAGTGTGTGACCTCGACCCCCTTGGCTAAATAATAAAAATTAAACCTTGTCTCCTTTCGAAAGATAAAACAGTAATGGGATCTCTAAAAATCTATTTGAAAGAGCTGGCCAGATTCCAACCTTCACTGGTAACGAAACTTATGCAACAAATAATCACTTTAAAAAAAAAGATATTGGATAAAATTGTAATTTTTATTTATATTTTAAACTCTAATTCTAAGAACGGAATAAAACGTTATTAAGTAATTTATACGTTTTTAATTCTTATCAGTTATTTAAAAAATAAGATCAAGGTTGAATTTGTGTTTTTTGTAAAAACATTAAGCACTATAAGTAAAGGTTAATAAAAATCTAGCTTAAAAATATCTGATAAGATAAAATAAATATTAAAATGTTTAAAATTCTTGAGTAAACACTCAATCTATCTTAAAAATTTTGTATATATATATAACGAAACAACTCATATCAAATATATTTTAATCATTTGACTAAACAATAATTTTTGTTTCATTTAAACCAATATGATGTACACATCTCTTTTAAATATATTAATGTTGCTTTTGAATACAGGTAATTTTGTGAACTTTTAATGTTTTTTTTGTTTCTTATTTTTGTTTTGTGAAATAAATAGATAATATGTGTTAATTTAAATCAAATAAGCATACATTTTTTCAAATTTTAAAGACTTTATTTGCTTAAAATTGTATTCAATCATTGGAATACTACATCAGTATAGAAAAATAAACAACGTTAGCTTTTTTCGTTGGTTCTTTTCTCAAAAAAATTATTTTAAATAAATGAAAAAAGGCACTGCTTTGCAAACACAATTTCGATATCAAGTTTTAAAAAATTTAATCAATAAGTTACTTTCATACATTAAAAGATATCTTTGAAATAATTAACTTTTAGGACATTTTTATTATTTTTCTCTATCCCTAATATTTTAAAATAAGTTTTGAATTTTCCTAAAAGATATATTATTTGTGAATAATTTGGTTTTTTAAATTTGTTCATTTAATTTTGTGATAAAAACATAGGAGCAATTGTTTACCCATTCATAGGGCCTGAGTAAACACTCAATCTATCTTAAAAATTTTGTATATATATATAACGAAACAACTCATATCAAATATATTTTAATCATTTGACTAAACAATAATTTTTGTTTCATTTAAACCAATATGATGTACACATCTCTTTTAAATATATTAATGTTGCTTTTGAATACAGGTAATTTTGTGAACTTTTAATGTTTTTTTTGTTTCTTATTTTTGTTTTGTGAAATAAATAGATAATATGTGTTAATTTAAATCAAATAAGCATACATTTTTTAAAATTTTGAAGACTTTATTTGCTTAAAATTGTATTCAATCATTGGAATACTACATCAGTATAGAAAAATAAACAACGTTAGCTTTTTTCGTTGGTTCTTTTCTCAAAAAAATTATTTTAAATAAATGAAAAAACTGCTTTGCAAACACAATTTCGATAGTAAGTTTTAAAAAATTTAATCAATAAGTTACTTTCATACATTAAAAGATATCTTTGAAATAATTAACTTTTAGAACATTTTTATTATTTTTCTCTATCCCTAATATTTTAAAATAAGTTGAATTTTCCTAAAAGATATATTATTTGTGAATAATTTCGTTTTTTAAATTTGTTCATTTAATTTTGTGATAAAAACATAGGAGCAATTGTTTATCCATTCATAGGGCCTTAGGATAATTTTATTAATTTATTTAGTCCTCGTATTATCAATAAATTATATTCCAAATTTCGGTCTTGAACATTATATAGTTATTAAAAACAATTAAAATATATTCTGTGGAAAATTGAATAAATTTATAATGATTGTTATTGACAGAAGCAAAAATTCCAGATAAAAAAGAAATTAAAAGTATTCTAAATACTCACAATAAATACAGAGCGTATGTAAACCCAGCATCTAGCGCAATGTTTAAATTGGTAATAGATTACCATAATAGAATAAATTTTCATTTTAAAATAATTCATTTATATTAGAGATGGAGTAGTGAGGGAGCTATAAAAGCTCAAGCAATGACCAAGCGATGCATATTCAATCATAGCTCATTGGATAGAGATAGAGCTATATCTAGTTTAATATTTAAAAAATTGTATAGTATATTATTTTTTATGCAAATAAATATTATATATACAAACCTTCATAAAGGAATCTCTTTAACATATGGGATAGATATTGGTTAACTTGTAGATCTATATATGAACTTATATGTTATTTTGGTAATAAAGATTAAGTAAAAAATCCCTTGATAAGTAGGTGTTACCTTAAGATCTTTTTAGCAAAGTTTAAAATGCTCAGAAAATCTATAATCTGTTTTATTTCACTTCTTTAACCATCCTTTTAACATTCAAAGAATAAAAACAGTATATTTTAAACTTTAACCTTTAATATGATTATCATATATTTTCAATTTGATGTCTTGCAAAAAAAATTTGAGGGGGGTGGAGTAAGTATTCATATTGTTTTCTTAATGATTCTCACCTACAGTGACTCAGGAGGAGTCAGAAAAATATTTGACTATAGCGGTTCATACAAGCCGTTTTAAGTATACAAAGTTACCATTTAGACTATCCATAGTACTTAACCATTTTTCAAAGATTAAATATAAATTATTAATATCATGTCGAATGACATACGTATACATCTAAATGATATCGTAATAAATGGCCATGACTATAATAATAAACTACAGAAATTATTAAAGGTATTCGGGAATTGCAGAAGGTTATAATCAGAGTTATCAATCTAGAAGAATTAAAAGAATCTGAAAACTTGGGTTTAGCCTGGTCTTTGAACTTAGATTTTGGAAATGGCTAAGAATCAGAAATGGCGATGAATTACAAATACGTTAATAACAAATGGCGTTATATCACAAACTTTGAAGAAGCACGGAATAAAATAAAAAATAATAATAATATAGGCTTTAATCTGTGGAAGCAAATTAATAAATTATTGATTACACCTTTCCATAATTCCCGAATATTTTAATATTTTATGTAGTTTATCATAATAGTCATGGCCACTTATTACGATATAATCTAGGTATACACTCCTGTCATTCGGTATGATATTAATAATTTAAGCTTAATCTATGAAAAATCGTTATACATTATGGATAGTCTAAATGGTATCGAACCGTTATAGTAAGGGTACTCACTTCCTCTAAGTGATGTGAATGTTAGAGGCTTAATATCATAGGTATCAATGTATGATCATTTTTATAAATTTTAAAACGAATAAACTTTAAAAATTTATTATATTATTTAAAAAAATAATATTTAGAATATAGTGAGGGAGGCCAAAATTTGTTTCTCTCAAGGGGTACATTTGTCTGGAACTGGAATGACATCATTAAATCATGGCATGATGAAGTAAGTGATTTTACTTTTGGGGTGCATAGGAACACCACTACTGGTCATTATACACAAGTATAAGCCTTAATTATATCTTAACAGCATCATCACATATATTAACATCAATTTTTAATCTTTTTAGTCAATTATAGGGTTTAGAATTCACCTAATTATATCAAATAAATTTTTTTTAAAGTTATCTGTATAGATAGCATGTCATAAAAAGGTATCTAGATAAAATAGACTTTACAAAATGATCAATATAAATATAATTCTTCTTGAGAGTTTGATGAGGTGTTAAAATTTGCATTTAAACTAGCCAAAATAGGCAAGAGATTTAGTTACTATGCCTAATAATTGTAAGTTGACTATTTAAAATTTTTATTGATCCAGATTCTAGATTTGTATAAAAATAATTTGAATAATATTTAAAATGACTCATTCAATTATATTGATTTACTTTAAATTATTGTATGCTCATTCAATTTGAAGAACAGTAAGAGATTTATCGAAATAAGTTTTTATTATATATCAAAAATTCATCATTATCTGTTTTAACAAAAGAAAATCTTCTTTTTATATCTTTTTAAAAAATAAATAAATCATAAAATAATCAATTATATAAAAAATGTTTGTTTAAAATTGAATTTAACTAAAATTATATAATAACAAAGAATATATAAATTGTCAATTATAGCAAAAATATAAAACGATAAAATAAATTGATTTTAAAATTAAGAAACAAAGATAAATTGCAACGATAAAATAAAAAGCTAATACAAACTAAAAATAATCTCGCCGAAAGATATAAAATAAAACAAGGTTTTAAATCGACGTATTTAACACAATTATATTGGTTTTCTTTAAATTATTATTATTATAATGTTGAGTAAGCTATTGACCAATTTTAATTGAAAAATCATATCGAATTAATTAAGCAAACCATTTTAACTATTAATACTTGAATTTTATTATGGCCATTCTCGACTACCATGCTAATTCTCGAATAAAAGTAGTATTTGAAATATAGAATTATATATATAAAACCAATGATAATATCTCTAAAAGGTTTATAAGTTAATTTTATGTTTTATGTAGAAGAAAATATATTATAAGTATAGCATATTTTAAAAAAGAAGTAAAATTATTTAAATTTAAACACTTAAAACAAGATAAGGTAATAGTATATTAGTTTAAAAATTATTAACAAAAAGTGGAAAAATGCAAAAGTCGATAAAAATTAATTAAAGAGGGATTTAGGTACCTCTTGTGGACAAGTTAGAATCTACTAAATTGATAGAGATATATCCTAATAGTAGGGTAAGGATTAGACATGTGCGCCGACAGCATTTTCGGCGGCGGCGTTTCTTTTTTTAAAATGATCGGCTGGCGGCGGCGAATCAAACGCCGCCATAAAAATCGGCGGCGGCGCGGCGGCGTCAAATATTTTTCTAACTTAAATTTTTTTAAGTAAATTTATAAATTCATTGGAAACACTTTTAAAATAAAATTTATACTTTATTATGTTTATAACTATAATTTAATGATTTTATTAAGTTATAATTATCATGAATAAATATTATTTGATTAAGATTTAAAGGACATAGTAATGATCTTTTAGAGTTCAGAGTGAGCCCAGCTATAGAAAATACACGCTCGCTGGGTGTGCTTGTAGCTGGAACGCACAGGACCTTTCTAGCTAATATTGAAAGTTTAGGAAGATCCAATGCTCTTATCTTCCAAAAATCTAAGACATCTTTTATCTCCAAATTTTAAGGCGAAAATAATGAATAACACTCTTTTTCTAAACTAGTTAAATAGTGTTGTTGTTCCAGGTTATTGTTTTGAATAGATGAATGCTTCGTAGCCAATGACTTAAGATAATCGAGTTTTGAAGCAACTTCCGTCGTTTTACATTCGTTTAATTTGTCCGTGTAAGGACGTAGAGAGGTAGCGTGTTGACATAAAAATTGAACCGGAGTAATATTTTTTTCCTTTAAATATTCATTTACTATGTTTATTGATTGAAAACGAGGATCCAAAAGTGCTCCTAACACCTAAGTAAAAAAAATAAAAGAAAGAATAATGTATAAAAAATAATTTATGTATTTTAAAATACTACCTGAAGATCGGTTATTGGAAATCTATGATTAAATTTAGTAAGCATATTTTGTTTAAGGGATGCTATGGGTGGACTATCATTTTCTTTTACAATTAAATGATTTTTAATTTCACTACGAAATAATAAGGCTAAATTTATAGTAACTCCTTTTTGGACAGATAAATATTCAACAGTTTGTTTGAAGGTTTTAAGAAAATTTAAAAGTTCATACACCAAGTCCCAATCGGAGTTAAATAATTTGAGATCCGGTTTCTCCATTCTATTTAATAGAATATTTATAGGATTTTTGTTATTGCCAGTCACACTTTCCAGCATTATTAAAATACTATGCCAACGTGTAGGCACATTTAATTTTAAGGTTTTATGTTTTTTCTCATATGATTTTTGATTTTCACTATCATCATCATACCCCAAACGATCTTCATAAAAAGGATCATTATCATCCAAATCTAAAATATCCGATGTATATGATATCGATTCAAAACATTTTCTATTTTCTATATCGTTTATATTTTCAAAATCCGCTGTTTTGAATCTTAAGGCAACTATTACTTCTCTAACTTTTTTAATGAGATTTTCAATTTTATTAACTTTTTTATTCCATCGACTGTCACTAGATTATGTAATCCATGCCCCAAACATAAATGATGGTCATATTCTCCTAGACGAACACTTTTTTTTACATTGGGTCCTGCATCCGTAACCATTTGAATTTTCTTGGACCCTAAATCAAATTCATTTTCAACTTTTTCTATTTCGGAAAGAATAGTTTCAGCGGTATGTTTTTGGGTGACATGATGTGTCGCCAATGTATAAAATACAATATTAAAATTATTATCTATTTCGTGAAAAGTAAAGGTGATATAATTTCGCCGTCTATATTTGTCTGTCCACATATCAAAAGTTATAGCACAAAATTTAAGACCTAGATTAATTTGTTGGCATATGTATGCTTTTATTGATAAATAAACATCATCTAATCCACTCCGGCTAAGTGTAGTTCTGTCAGGTAATTCTTTGGCATCTGAAATAATGCCATATTTCTACATAATAAAAAATTAATAATAAAATATTATGCCATAAAAAATTCTAAATGTGGGATGTTATAAAAAAATTAAATATCTTAACAAATAAAAATTAAGATTGCCCTATAAAAAATTATAATGATTTTACAAATAACCTTTAGAAAATCTTGCATTCCAGTATTATTTATAGAAGAGAATGGCATTAAATCCTTGCAACACATGAGAACATAATTCCTTACCAGAATCCATTTTTTATCTTTTATAGGGTCAGTTGTATCTTTTACAATGGGTTTGAAAAATAACTTTAAATTTTGTTTAGATATTTCTTCTTTGCATGATAAATCATGTTTGTCAAGTAAATGTTTTATTATATTTGATGGGCTGATATTTTTTGAAAAAGATTTAATTGGATAACTAATTAAAAAATTTACTAATATTTATAAAATAATCAAAAAATTTACTCTGAAAATGAAGAATTATTTTTATCCTCACCATCTTTATCAAGTGCTATTTGCAAGCATATATTACAAAAGACTTTATCTGTAGCAACACTGGTTCTCTTATAATTTGTGTCAGTTTTTAATATTAAGGATCCAAAATGTTTCCATGCAAAAGAAGGTTTTGCTTGCAAGGATATACTATATTTTGTTACAGGGTATTGCAATGCTGCATCCATTATATTTAGTCCTGGTATTTTTATATATGTTTGGCAACAAAATAAAAATCATTAAATAAAATTTATATTATGATAAAAAATAAATTTTATATAACGAGTTGTAAATTATTTTAATCAAAATAAAAGAATAAAATATAGATTTACCTATTCAAATTTAATGTCCTAATCTTATTTTATCTAGCACGTTGGTCATAAACCTGCCCAAAGTGAGCGAATAAGGATTGTTACAAATCAAATTTATAGCAAATAATATTTATTAATTTTAAAAAATAAAATCGCATTTTTTAATAATTCAAAAAATATTTAATATTTTTCTTATATTCATAAATAATATATAAAATAAATAATAAAAAATATGTATCACGCCGCCACGCCGCCGAATTTTTACATCGGCGGCGGCGTGTTGAGCGCCGACAATTTTTTGGCGCGCGGCGTCGGCGTGGTCAAAATAATCGGCGGCGGCGCATTTGACCGGCGGCGCACATGTCTAGTAAGGATTATAAATTTATATTTAGCAAGAAGAGTTGGTATATATAAGAAAGATATAAGTTAATGATATAGGCACAAAACGGAAAGTATTGGTAATTTGAAAAAAAATCTTAGACTAAATTGAAAAAAATTTAAGATTTGGTATTTGTTATCTATGTATTATAAATTTAAGAGTCATGTAAAAAATGAAAAATGAATTTTGATGACATAGTCATGGTGAAGTTGTGGTGATGGTAAGAAGATCTATAAATAAAGATATGATTAAATGAAATAAATATTGGCCTGATTCTTGGGATAGGAAGGAACATTGTATCATGGAGCTGCGTGATTATGTGTTATGCATAAATAAAATTCTTCACATAAGTTTTAACGCTTCGTTAAAAAAAGCAGACGAAAAAACCCAAACTAAAGAGTAATAAACTAAAATATACTACATATGACTTTTATGTTGCATTTACTAAAAAATATGTCAATCTTTATGATAATATAATCCAAATAAACTATAAATGAAATATAATAATATCCTATATAGCATTTATCACAGTTATAAGTTAGCTGAGTTTATACAATATGACCGTGACTTAATCCAGGAAAATACAATTTATGTCTTATTTCCTTTTAACTGACATGCTCAGTTATATTGTCATTCGATAATAGTGACTTATTCGTAAAACATTATGAAATTATATAGATCAAACGTTGCTATAAGAGTTAAATTGAATGTTAATATTTTTAAAATTTAATGTAAATGACATCAAATTATTATATCGTATCTTTGGGCCTTGTCTATTGACAACTCCCATGATTGCTGGCCAAAATCTTTTAGTTATCAGTTAAGTTTGGGTACTTAAAAACCAAAATATGTAAAATAAATTAACGCAATTACCATTTTTCATTAAGGAAAACTATATCGCTTATATCTCCCCCCCCCACCCCCCACTCCCCTCCATTAGAAATTTCTTAATTTAGAAGAATTCTTTCATAATGTTTTAGGTGGTTTGGGGCACAACGCAAGAAGTCGGATGCGCAATGACCCAATGTAACGCGGATAAAATATATGCGTGCAATTATTATCCCAGGTAACAACAATTAAAATGTTAAGATTCGCACCTCCCCCCCCCACCACCCCCTATTTTGTCTAAACATTAAATTACTACATATAATTGTAAATATTTTTAGTGGTAATATTAAGCCGACTTATTTGCCTTATATAAAATCAAATGTTCAATCATGCAAGGGTTGCATAAAGGGACGAGAATGTTCAAAAGATGTTTATGCTGGAAAATTGCTTGAGAAATGCGGTAAAAGATGCTAGTTATTCATAATAAAAAATAAATTTTTAATAAAACCAAATATAAAGCATTATTCGGTAAAAGAGTGCAACAATTTAGCAACGCGAATAGATAAATATGCCAAATCTTCTAAAAGCTTTATTCCAAGTCCAATGAAAATTAATTCTTTAATGATAACAATCTTAAAAATATTATTTATATTTCATTGTTAATATTGTAAGACGGGCACACTATATTATAAATAAAGATTAAATATATACGTATATTTATTAGATATGAATTATATATCTTTTTATTATATTCAATAAAATGTTTAGTTTTAAGAAAAGTAACTTTAAGAAAGCTTAAATGATAGGAAAAAACAAGTAATATATTTTGTATAGTGTTGTTAAACTATCTAACTTTGACCCTCTCTATTGTGGCTTAGTCAAGTTTTTGGTTTAAAAAATTGAATTAAGTTTCTAAGTTGAATCTCAAATTGAAAATTGATTTGAATATTTTTGCATAAATACATACCTACACTGTTTTATAGTTGACTAAAGTTTGGCATTTTAGCAACACTAATTTTATAAAAAAAAATCCCCATTTTCTAAGGTCCGTGAAGTTAGCTCCTGATATTTGATTTTTAATAGTTTATTTATTTGGATTTCGTCTCGAAATATATTTCAAATATACCAGCCCGCCTGCAATTGTTTTAAAGATATTTATAAGCCCCCCCCCCCAGCTTTAATAAATTGATCTAACTTTTAAACCTCATACAACATCAATAATAAGCTCCTATAATTTTTCTTTCGGAAATATATATCTGCCCCAATTAATGTTTAATACCAAAGACTGAAATAAACCATGATAAATTATATAAATATCATATTAATAAATTATTATATTTGAACACTATTATAAACTTGGTCTAAGGCCGTATATGGGAAATATTTTTGCGAAGTTAAGAATATGAGGCAAGTAACCCTTGAGTTGAAGTCATAGGATGAAGGGAATTTGGGTCATTTGAGGAATGGTTGGTCTAATTTAAATGAAAGGGTTTTGTAATATGCAAAATTACTTATTGAATTATGAAGGTTGGTTATGCATAGACTTTATATTTGGTTAGATAGGTAATATTTTTTATGTAAATGGGATGAAAGCGCATGATGATTGCAGATATTTTCTACTTTAAAGGTTTAACAATTGACTTGTTATTCACTTTTTTTTAACTTTTTTTAAAAATATTTTTCTTATAATTTTAATTTTGTTTATATATCTTTTACATTACGGAGTGTAATTATCTTTATTGGATGAAAGAAGATCATTAGGGTTATTAAAATTTTGTTTCACTCTTCATATCCTTCATTATTCAATCCATCATCTTCTACAATGAAACTTTCAATTTTAAAATAATATAATATATTTGCTGTTTGTTAAGTTGTAACCTAAAAATAAACCAGGAATTTATAATCAATTTTCTAGTTATTATTTAATTCATATAAAACCATTTTCCAAAGTAAAACTTTAACGAACGAATGAATGTGTAAAAAAAATTGTTAGTCTTCCCAATTCTTTTTTTATTATTCGCCACTTTATATATTCTCAATATATGGCAATCACATGCAAAGTTATCAAAGTAATATAGATTTAAAGATGTGATATCTGAATTTAGTCGAACTAGTTACTATTTTAGAAACACCTTATCTATTTTTAGATACATTTTGTTATAATTTCTATTATACGTTTTTTTATATTAAAAATAATAATATGTCCTAGTTCATTTCATCGTCAAAATAAACCAGAAACATTTTATTTAGTTTGAACATTCAAAGTTAAACAAAATTAGACTTTCGAGCATATAAAAATTGATTTTTTTATATTAAACTTTACAATTCGACCAAAACCTGAAAAAATCAACATTTCAAATTAATTTGAGTCAAATGTTTCAAAGCGCATGTTAAAAATGTCCACCATTAGCTCAAATATGTGCTCTAAGGCGATCTCGCCACTCACCGATTGCGCAATAAACAATTCCTTGATCAAATTACTTTGTAAATCGCTGTTTGAGATGGTCAACGTCGCTTATGCTATTTTAATAACCTGATCAAATATGGAAAAAATTACAGAACGATAATAATCAAAAATCAGTCAATCAGTGATCGGGCAAAACGTATAGTATGATATACTTTTACCCTTGATTCAAAAGATGATCCTAGAGCAGTCAAGACTTAATAACTCGAATGAAAGATTTAGAGAAACTTAAATGAATACAAAGTAATCCATTAGCTGAAATTTAATTTTTTTTTTATATCACATTGAAAATGCAACGTACATCCTATAAATTTCCAGATTTGCCATGGAAGTTACTATAATGAGCTTTTTTTGCGAACCATATAGAATGAACAATCCTCGATGGATATTTTGGTAAAAGTTGTTTTGTACTATTTACCAGAAAGCAATCTTATTCGAATCGGTTATGTCCTGGTTTCCTTTTTTAACATTTTAGCCGCAGCTCTTTATGTATAATCCGATTCACTGTAGCTTGCGAGATCCCAGTTTCTCGGGATACAAGAAGAATCGTTCTGTAGGTGCCAAGTCGTTTCAAAATTCCATAAAACTATCTGTACGTTATCTTTCACCACTGCCAATTTTCTGCTAACCCGATGGCCATCAATTATTCCAATCAATTGATTTAAGGCTGGGATATACCAGTTTCTGTTAGGAAATTCCTTAAAAAATCTTAATGTTTTCTTGAACCCATATGGAATGGATTATTTAGTTTCCTTAGAAGTTTGAATTTTAAGAATAGAATCCTAAGTTAAACAATATGCGCATCATACATAAGTATAATAAAATTGTATCTGTATCTAGATAAGTTTATAGACTATATATCTGTATTCATTTTTATATTATATATCTGTATCTAGATCCATTTTAAAAGTAAGTTTTAACAACTCTGATTACATGTAGTTATTTTGCATTTCATTTTATAATTAGCCAAATAGGAAATCATCTTTCTATTATGATTGTTATTATTATTACAATGATATAAGAATAAAGATATGTTACGAAACAAAGCTGTTTGTTTTTTTATTTTGAAATAAATTGTAATTTATTTAAATTTAATGATTAATTATTTAAATATATTGGATAAAGTTATAAATAAAGTTTTCAAAGTTATACTCATATTTTAAATTAAATAATATCAATTAAATTGTTGATTAATTCTATCATATCCTTCAACTTCAAAGGTATAAATTGAAATCTATATGTATAATTATTGCGATATTTTATAATTTTCTTTAAGAAAGAACAAAGTTTAAGTTAGATAGTAAATTTTATTGAAACAATAGCGTAGGAACCCCCCTTCCCCAGAATGAAAATAAAATTTATTTTTTTTAAAATTTTATTTTTTAAAAATTTATTTTTTAAATTTATTTAATTTTAATTTAATAAATTCTTAATAAACGCTTGATTTTTATGTTTTAAATTTATTATAAATAATAATAGATATACACATTTGATTATTTTTATATTTATTTTTGGTTTGCAGCTATTTCGTTTATTTTTTATTTAATTATACATATGATTTTAGCAAAATGCTACAAAAAATTGATTTAGATTTAAGGGAGATTATGAATAGAGCAAAGGATATTGTTAAAATATTAACAAATATCAGAGAGAATGTGGATGAAAAATTTCATGAAATATATGAAAAAGTAAAGGAGATTGCTAATATGTTTGGAATTGAAATTTTTAAACCTAGAGTAGTATCTAGACAATCCAATATATCAAATATTGATGCATCTACGATTGAGGAGTTTTATAAAATAAACATTTTTATTCCCCTTATTGATACATTTTTATTTCAATTAAAAGAAAGATTACTTACAATCTACCAATCCTTTAAAAATTTCAAATGATATACCACTCATATCTAATACCAAATATTATAAACTACGTTCAATTTAAAAAAAAAGAATAAAATATAATAGCATTATCAATATTAGAGGTTTAGAAATATTTTTCTAATTATAAAAACTTTTTACTGGTCTGAAAATAAGTATAATTTTTTTTATATTTCTAGATTTTTAAGGGTGAAGTCAAAAAGTAATGAAAGAAAATTTTTTTTACTGAATCCAAATATTTTATAACATCTTTTTAATATCAAAATTTTTAAATAGGCTTAAAACAATTTTAAATAAAATTTTCCTCATTGGAATAAAATATAATTGCATTGATACGTTATTACTAGATCCAATGGTTTTAGAAAATCTTTAAATATCCAAAACTTTTTACAAGACTTTAAACATAAATAAATTTTTTTTTAATTTCAAGCGTGGTGTTAAAAAAAATGGCAATAGAAATTTCTTTATAAAAATAAAATTTTAGAACTTTATAATATTAAAAACCACTAAGATTATAAGAAAGTTTTAAAAAAAACTTAAAGATGACGATTATGACAATTGTCACTTTTCTAAGGTACATATTCGCTAAAAATTTAATTTAACATGTTTACAATATATATTTTTACCTATTTGCTTCAAAAAAATTCGAAAAAACTTAAAAATGACGATTATGACAATTGTCACTTTTCTAAGGTACACATACACTGAAAATTTAATTTAACATGTTCTCAACATATATTTCTACCTATTTGCTTCAAAAAAATTCGAAAAAACTCGAAAAAACTTAAAAATGACGATTATGACAATTGTCACTTTTCTAAAGTACACATACACTGAAAATTTAATTTAACATGTTCTCAACATATATTTCTACCTATTTGCTTCAAAAAAATTCGAAAAAACTCGAAAAAACTTAAAAATGACGATTATGACAATTGTCACTTTTCTAAGGTACATATTCACTGAAAATTTAATTTAACATGTTTACAATATATATTTTTACCTATTTGCTTCAAAAAAATTCGTAAAAACTTAAAAATGACGATTATGACAAATTTTAACGCAAGCCGACCCAACAGGCCGACCCAGCAAGTCGACCCAACAAGCCGACCCAGCAAGCTGACCCAACAAGCCGATCCAGCAAGCCGACTCATCGGGTCGCCCCAATGGGTCGGCTCATGAGGCCCATTAGGTCGGGTCGGGTCTGATCTATGGCTAAATGGGTTCGCTCGGGTTTAAGGTCGTTTTTTTCGGCTCAAACCTTGCTGGGTTTTCGGCCAAGCCGACCCGACCCAGCAATTTAACAACACTATTATTAGGCATAGTAACTAAATCTCTTGCCTATTTTGGCTAGTTTAAATGC